TACATGAAAATACATAAATACGTGCTGATTTCTCTAATAAACGATCTGTTTCCTAGCCATTGTCTTCTGTCGTTACATTTGGTGTCACTGCCTACCGACAAATGGAAAGTCTATGCCCTGCAGTTTTAGTGATAAAAACATATGGATCTCCGAGCAGGACTTCGATGCTTCCACTCAGTTGAGTGGCGTTCAAGATCTGTCAGCGATGAGACTGCTACTTGGGACGCTGCTGGGATGTCGGGAGAAAGCAGCATATGAAAATGTGGGGCGAAAAACCGACGAATGTGCTGTGACAGGGTCAGGCAAACAGTTTCCAAAATAATAGGAAGGATCGCGTATGGTCACGTTGATATGTGGCTACGCAGACACAATGGCAACGGTAAACAAAGTGAAACAGGTGAACATCAGCGAGGGCTGAGATTCCAGGCAGCAAGACAAACGAACAAAGCCCCTAGAACCAAGAAAACCGAAATATGTGTTGATTTTGCTTAATAAACAATCTGTTGCCTGGCCCTTATCTTCTGTTGTTACATATATACATATATATGAGATCAGATCAACACGCTGTTGTGATTTGCGCTAAATAAGCACATAAGTTTTCTAAATAGTACAATATTCACACACCGCTTATGCTGTTCATCTTACTTATTCAGTTACAACTGTTTCAAATACTTGGTAAATGTCACTTCTGAATATCCCTTAGAGACTTACTGTATCTGTTATTTATGTTCATCACTACCTTTTATTATCATATGTCGGGAAACTGGGTGTTTTTTATACTAGTATTTTGCCTTAAATAGAGAGAAGACATTTTATAGGTTGATGTTTAAATTTTTTGTAAACGATTTGTTTATTTTTACCACAGATGCCTACAAACATTTCTGCATAGCTTAAATCGAATTTATTTCCTTACGGAAAGAGGAGCAGTTACCACCATCATCATCAACAGTACTAGTGACGACAACGCCACAAACAGACAAACGAACAAACAAATAACACACGAAGGAAAGGCTCTTGAAAATGAAGATGTTATTGATTTTTAATTTTAACTGGCAATATTTTTTTTAATGGACTGAGCGACTGACTGGCTAAATGAATGAATGAATGAATCAATAAGGGGAAAAGCAGAGGAAGTTAGAAAGGTCAGCCTAATACAGTACTGCAGTGGTATAGTTAGAGGGGATTGGTAGGAAATTTAAGGGGGTAGGGTTAAAAAGACTTAAAAGCAGGTGAAGATTAGTTAACCAAGGGTGTATTTTTCAAGTATAAAATAGTTAGTTTTACATCGGTATTATCTAATTGAATTAATTAAGGGCACTAATTATTTGGTATTTTGGGTATATAAAACGAAATATTCCCATACTGAGTCATAAGAAAAAAAGGCACAAACAGCGCAGAAAATTTTCCCTTTTCGACGATTCATTTTCATGAGCTGTTATACAATCGTAATTATATTTAACATGGAAATGTTTGGAGCAATCAGATAATGGTAAACTTTGTCCTTGAAAAATTGTATTACCTAATGTAAGGTATAAGAAAGGATGACTAATTGTAAGTTGGCATGACGTAATAAGTGTGAGATAATCACTAATCAATAAGCTGGTTTAGAATGGATAGGAACTAGCGGAAAGACGATAAAGTGTTTTTGTATAAAAGCAATGTTATTAATAAACAGTAATAGAGTGGTAATAAAATGTGGATAATGGGAATAATAACGATAATAAAAGTATTAATGACAATAATAATAATAGTGAACTTGCATAATAAAAATAGGAAGAAGCGAAATTATAGAAAGAACTTTACTCTGCCCATGGTAGGGCGAGGGAATATATGTATCGCTTTGGAATGAGAAGGTCCGGTTTCAGATCCTGAATAGCTAATGCTTCCGCTATTTACAGATAGCTTATCCGGAGTCCCGTTTTAAGATATTGAGGTACCCTTTGTGGCACTGTGAAGCATTCATGTGGGTGTGCCCGATGTCCGGAGATGACAAGGTGTTCGAGGATAGAGCTGCTGCTATTCTTCTTTTCTCCTCTGGCTGGCTAACCAAGCTGGACATTGTTCCAGAATACGTTTGTGGACTTGACGTTGCATACGGCCGATATACTTTGCTCCATATGAGCAAGTAAATTGAAAAATACACATTGAAGTGGTCAAAAGCGGTATCTTGTCCTTAGCGTTAGACTGGTTTAACTGTCTGCAGGAGAATGTGATACGAGTGGGGTGGCTGTTGGGAATGTCTTCTTCAGACATTAAGAAAGGCAGTTTCTAAGAATTTCTGGTGCGATATCATCTTTGAATTCTAGGTTTATGAAGATAGTCTTCTTAGGAACCGTTGTGATGTCTGACACCTTGATGTTTTTGTCGATAAATCTTGGTGGATACCCGTTATCTAGTAGGGTTTCACATAATAAATTTAGTTCTTTCTCTACCATGTCTTCCGAGCAGATTTTTCTAGTCCTTGAACGCAATGTACGTACCAGGTATATTTTGGGCATAATTATCTTGACTCCTTATTCATGGACTTCAGACAATAAATCCTATTGAGGATCACTGAATAGTAATATCTGATACACTAACTTCACTTACTTTGGTCCATGATAACTTCTAGTGGAATCCAGGATGTGTACTTCATCTCATCTGAGGCTTGTCAACTGGATGTTTGTAAATATTTGTGTGTGCTGTTAGAAGTGTACGGGCGATGATTACTCTTGAGACAGTAAAATCACTAGAGTTACAACGTATTAGGCCTCGTGAAACTACTTCTTCACGATGGTAGCACAAGAGTTCTAGAGCTGTATCCGTATTGTGACCATATTGCTGGTTGAAAATCGTTTTCAGTTGTGCAGATGTATGCGTTCCCTCTAATCTTCTAGATCCATTACTTCTTCACAGTTTTTATTCGTGCAGTTCAGAGTACTTCTGGATATTTTTGCTTTTTGCCCGTCTTAGTGTGGTCTATAAAGTGTGAAAAAATTGAAGTGTGTTGCAGTTATATGCAAAGTTCTACACTGAAACTTAGTCAGTCGGTCAGTCAGATGGTGTCTGTGCACTGAGACTGGAATCCTTCAGCAATCGTTTCAAACACTGCGGTATAATCCGCTAGGCCACTAGGCTACGACAGCCGTCTCTTGTTCAAATGGTATTAATAAATATTGTTTAAATTAATCAGCCAACAAGGAATGAGAATTAACTGGTGTCCATTCAATAAGAGGTATAGCCCAATGACCTCAAGAATAATTCTTTGGTGTTTGGAATGATGAGTGGCAGGGTTTGCATCTCAGTGAGAGGAAACCATCACTCACTGGAGGTGCAGGTACCATCAGTTGACGAATCGCCAATAGGACAAACTGGCCATGTTAGATTACACTGCTAGTAATTGCCTCCTACTAAAATAACATGAATTTAATTCCCAGACAACATCAAGGCGTCCTCGCTTAGAGCCTAAATGTTCACAGAGACTGAGGACTTCTAGCCAGTATAAATCAACTAGGGGGGAAATGAAAATTAACTTGAACAACAAGATAATTACAGTGTGTATCCCAGCATAGTAACTATATTGCAAACTTGACGGTTCGAATTTATTCAGCAACAACTATAAGGTTCTGATATCTACTACAATGGTTAACCCTCTCCCGCTAAATTGTTTTATGTATTACTACGTAATTTATGTATTGTAGCAACAAAGGTGATTTAACATGGGAATCATGTTTGTCAAAAATAAAAGACAGGTTTATTACTTATGTACGGGCAAGTATAACTATTATTGTTCTTCCCTTGGGTTCCTAGTGGAACATAGGGCTTCAACTGCACGTCTCCGTTTGCTTCTGTCTTCTGCTGTACTTTTCACCTGAATCCATGTTAGTTCATACTGTTTCAACTCCAGTTCACACGATCTCTTCCATGTCATCCTCGCACTGACGACCCACTCGCCGCTTCCCTTTCGGGCAATGGCCTGACGCGCACGCAATGTCACTCATCGGCCTCCTCACTTCAGCGAGTGTCCAATCCATCTCCACTTTCTCCTGCATATTTCTTGGGTGATTGGTTCTTTCTTTGTTTGTTCCGGCCATCTGATCTTCAGTGTAGAGAGAAGACAGTTGTTGATAGAGGTCTACAACACCAAAAACATAAATCATCCAAGCGCGAAATCAAGGTCTTATAGGTTCTTCACGTCGGTCCAGGATATCCTTGTCTTCTCGTTTCCCACTGTCTGACGCATAATCCAGTCAGTCTACCACAATTAGGAATATCATTGCTGATAGTAAGCACCCTTGTCTGACTCCTGTGTTTACTCCAAACGCCTCGCTGAGTTTTCCGTTGTGGATCACTTGACATGTTCCGTTGTCGTACAGCTGTTGAATAAGTTTGATGAATATTTGGGCGTTGCACGCCGTAGTACTCGAGTAATTTCCAAATTACTTCACGGTCAACGCTCTCTGTCGAAGGCCTTCCCGAAGTCTATAAAGTTGAGGTAGAGGTTTGATTGCCAAGTATAATATTCACAGGTAAATTATTAACATAAATTTTTGAGTCACCAAAACTAGGAGAATAATGTTAAAGTGTAATGATATTAAGCCAGGAATGTAGTCGTTTCTCCTTTGCCAGCAACTCTTTCTTCCAAAAGAGTGATCATCCATCTAGTGGAATCAAAACACTTAATGTCTTCTTTCTATTTGATATGGCAATTTATTTATCTTTCATTATAAAGTATTTCTTTCTGCTCACAGTGGAACATAGATCTACTTCAGGCTAGAAGCCCGAAGTCTAGGTAGCAGCAGTATTTATTTTTACGTGATTGAGTTGCTAGTCCTATGCTCAACCTTCCCTCTTTACCAGTCTTATTTCCAGTTTAGCGAGATAAATGAGTACGTCTGTGGCCAGGGATCTAATTCCAGACCACTTGCGTGGTCGGCGAGCACTCTACCACCGATGCATAACTGATTTTACCATTGATTTATTACTTTTCATGTATCGCTCTCTCTTTTTCTCTCTTTTAGCCAAGTCCATTCCGATCTCGTTTAATTCTCACCTCATTTATATTTGAATGTACAAGTTTTGCAATTGTCACCTTATTTCTTATTGAAATACCAATTAAACTATGGACATTTGGAGCCAGATTTTATTGTCACCAATGGATTGAAATGCTTGACGCATTTGTGTGCGTCGTTAGTTTTGCTGTCGACACTTATAATATTCATCGACATGTAACACATTCTAAAGATACTGATGAACATTATCAATCTCACGGGGTAAGCGGAACAAATGATCACTTGGTGAATAAAAGTGTACAAGCTACAATTGCTGATGCTGCCGGCCTACTTGTCCTGTTTCGATTATGGCGTGTTATACGTATCGTAAATGGTAAGTTGCTTTGTTATAATGTTGTTGTACTTTTTTGATTATGTACAACAGAATACTGAAATGCGATTGTCACAGAAAAAATATGCCCCAAGGTTTATTGATACAAATATTAGAAGCGTCCCAAACTGGAAAGAAACAGCTGTCCAGTACTCCCTGCAGGTTTTCCAATGGTTCTCTAACTGATGTATGCTCATGATGAAATCTTATAACGAATATAACTGGTGGTAAATAAGGGTTCACCACGAGACTAAAAGTAAAGGCCTATGCCATTGTTCCCACTGTTAACCAGATCATCATTTCACTACAGACTTCATTCCGGGTGGAACATACGTCTGCATGCCCTTTGAATTTTTACTAAAGATGAATGGAGTTGTATATACAGGGTGAAGAGTTTCTAGCATCGAGGTACTATCTTCCATCTCGCCTAGTCTTACCTTCGGTCTGTAAACTAGGCGAGGTATTTTACCGATCAACCACTTCTACTCTCATGGTAACAATTCCGTTGATTTGACTTAACTTTTACTTGTTCGTTTGACTTGATTTAAATCTTGTTTGTATGCTTATTTTTTCTTACTACTTAAAACCGTTTGCGTAATTCCGTATGTAATTTTGTTTTCATGTACACCTTGAGCACAACTCTTTCATCAAACTATTCATGCTGTTGTTATGTAACTCTTCTTTAACAACCGTTCATTACAACTCATCACTTTTGTTACTACTCTCTTATATCAACATCCAATTCTTCTAAACTTTTTTCCCTTCACGTTCTTCAGTGGAACATAGGGTTTCAAGCTAATGGCTGCAAGTTTCTGTAGCAGTGTTTATTTTTACAGGATGGGGCTGCTAGCCTCATGCCAAACCTTTCCTCTTTACCAGCATTATTTCTGGCATAGCTACGTAAAAGAGTGCGTCGGCCAGGGATCGAACTCCGGACCATGTGCATGGTCAGCGAGCACCCTAACTGCTGTGCCACCGACGCACCATCTGAACTTACTAAATGTATTTTCGTTTGACAAATTTAATGTACACACAAATACAAAGCGACCATACATATATATATATATATATTCGTGATTGTACAGCTGTGAAAATGAATTCGCCGAAAAGAGACTCTTCGCTGAACTACTGGTTTTTTGTCTATTAATCGACTTATCACACTTAAATATTTACCTACAAAGTGGTCTTTACCCAAATTCGTCTTATTTTCTACACCTGATCTGACTGCCTACTTAGATCTATAAACAAGTTGTTAAGGAATGTTTCTGAAGAAATTATGGTTTATGCATCAAAACCTTAAGTGAAAAAAGTTTATTTTGATCTTCTGAACACTCTGGAATTCCTTTAAATCATACTCTTTGAGGTTAGAGTCAGTCAAAGAGCTGACTATTCTATTATTATTGAAGTGAACAACAGTGACTTGAAGAAAAAATGCACGATGCTATTTATATACTACTAACTATTTGTTATGGATAGCTATTAACCAACCGCTCACATTAACCAATAGTACTTGTCACTTAGCCGGCCAGATATCTAAATGATCTGCCCAAAAATGAACAGCAGTTACCTGGGGTTCTAATGAGAAGTCGTGACCAGAAGGGTGCAGCACGTCGGGTGTGAGGATAAATACTCGCCGAAGACATTGGCTAAGGGTCGAGCTATGTCATGAATTAGCAGAAGTTAGAATTCATGGGCTGGCCATTGGATAGGGTCCCAGTGGCCTAATGGTCTACGGGCTCGTCTTGTAACCAGAAGGTCGTGGGCTTAAACCCTGGTGGTTGTTGCGTACTGATGAATAATCCCACACTAGGACAAAACAGCTGTCCAGTACTCCCAGGTTTTCCAGTGGTTTTCTAGCTAATGTCAGTTCATGATGAAATTCTGTAACCAGTCGATCAAATCCCTACAAACTAACAAGTGAACATCAGTTTCGCTTACTTTTGAGCTGAAATAAATAATTGTCACATTAACAGGTTTAGCTCAACTCAGAAAGGTGAATCTCAGTTCAAATCACTTGAATACTGACTGTCTGGCTAGCTAATTGTGTGAACTGGTGAAATGTTGATACATATTCGTAATTTAAGAAAACCATATTTTGTGATCCGTAGTTTATATAGTTCTAAGCAAAATTACAAGACTTTGTATTCTTGATATTATTTCACAGGTATAAATGTCGTCTAACAGTGGAAAATCTATTTGTGTCAACTTCAGATTATCCCCTGATTTCACACATATATATTTAACTTTTTTCCATTCCTTTTTATATTACCAATGGAACATAAGGATACTTCAAGCTAGAGGCCGGAAGTTTAGGTAGCAGTGGTGTTTATTTTTACGGAATTCAGGTTGCTAGCCTCATGCAGCAACCACTCCTGTTTACCAGTCCTATTACTAATACAGTGAGGTAAAGGAGTGTGTCAACTGGATATCGAACCCCACACCACATGAGTGGCCGACGAGCACTCTACCGCTGTGCCGCCCAGTGCACTTAACTTCGAATGGATGGTATTATTATTATTTTAAGCTGTCTCATGAATCAGCACAATGCCAGTGTTTAACAAAGGTACTTGTTGTTTCGCTTTTTCCTATAAGTGCCCTGTTATGTGTTATATTTTTCAAAACAGCCGAATTAATTACCACCATCTAAATATGTTTAAAAAATCATGTAATAATTGTGAGCCCTATACTGATATAAGTATAAAACTTGGGCACTGTGGTAGAGTGTAACTCCATTATGGATAAGATTTTATTTCGATAAGTCACACAGTGTTGTACACCAATATTAACTGATGACCACGTTTCAAGCACAAACTATTAACACTCATAATCATATCAAGTCACTCACTCACACAACTTTTTCCTTCATTTATACACATGTGTGGAACTGAATAAAAATCAAAATGAGATATTGTACATTCAGAAATAATAATACGAGTGTTACTGATCATTTACAATCAGATGGGAAATAAGACGAATGCTCATTATAGTCATAATCAGTAAGTAACTTGTTAGAATGTTGTGATGTACGTGAATTGAATTGAAATAGAATTTCGAAATTATTTATTATCTTCCTCTGATTTAACTGACTGGTGGAGATAATATCCTCCATATTTCTGGTATATGCATTGAGTCATTTCTATTGCATGTGTTGTGTTGGGTGTAGGCTGAATGAACCAGTCGGGATTCAGTGATCAACCTCTCTGTCCACCTACATGGATTACTTCTTAGAATCTTAACCCTCTCCCACCACCCTATTGTGTGGTTGCGTGTTTATGCATGTAGTGTAACTTCTGAGCTTTTTTCTAAATTACTTATCTTCTCGGGGTCAACCATTCTTCCCTTAGCTTCTGATAACCTGACTACTTCCCACCTACTAGTGTGACCTATGTAGTTGACCTCACAGTCATTGCAGAGTATTTTGTAAATTATATTATTTTGTCTAGTTGGGTTAACAGGGTCCTTTATCCTACAGAGCTTGTCCTGCCTGAGTGAGTCTGTAGGTTTGAGTACCACTCTAATTCCTGCTTTATTAAGAATCTTACTTTGGGTCTTAGATGTCGCCTCCTTATATGGTATAACAGTGGATGCGAGCCTTTTAATTTAAGAGTTGTTAAGATTTCCATTTAACTTCATCTAAAACTAGAACTTCATTCACATCATCTCCCTCACCCCATCCCCCGAGAAAAGTGTGTAAATCGTAGCTGTATTTGCTCTTTATGTAACATTGGAATGACCAGTGAAGAATACACATGAGAAAAGTGGGTGAGACATGGGTTAAATGATTAGTTTTGACAGGATCAACAGTTTGCCCTTTCTCTGCAAATGTACCATTAGTAGAAACTATTTGTTATCTGTGTGATTACATTGAACAGGAATATGTCTGAAGCAGATGTACGCTTAATGTGCAGTTTGCGTTTAACGATGTCATTTATAATCATAGGGAGAGAGTCGCCATGGATGTCATCATGGATGGGCTTAGACAGTGGTCCATTGAAAGAAATAGTCTTGAGTTCACACATGAATAAGCGATATTTTTAAGGCACCTTCATTACTTGTAACGGCAAAAGGTTAAACTACCTAGCTTCTTGAAAAATTTAATGGTTCTCGCCCATAGATGCTTTTCACCGTCGAAGTAGAATTGAACTCCGCGTTTCGATTCTCAGATGTGATGTTAGATAGCAGAGAGAATGGCACATTAAAAACGTCTCTTTATAGAAGGCCAACATTTACATGATAGTACACTAACTTCAACAGTTGGGTACTTTTACGTATGAAGAGAAATCTAATCCCTTCTCTATGCTTAGGAATTCGGAAAATTTGCTCTGTAGATACAGTTTACTCAGAATTAGAAAGCCTTCCCATAACCCTCTTAAATAATGGATATCCTAGCAGGTTTATTGACAGCAACATCAAGGGAGGAACCATTCCTAGCCAAATCACCGTACCGTTCAAGTGTGACAGAATTTCTGAAGTAATTAAAAGTCGTTTATCTAAATGTACTAAACGCTGTTTTTATGCAGCTGACATACATTTAGTATTTACCAGCCTAAATATGATTCGACAGAGCATCAAGGATAACCTACCGTATATATCCACCTCTATGTGAGTGTACTCATTCAAACGTTCGTGTGGAGGTGATTACATTGTACGTTGTAAGCGTAATCTCCGTAAACGCGTAGCTGAACACTACCCGGTTTGTTGGGTGAAAGGTGAGCGAAAAACGACAAAGTGTTCAATCTGCAAACACCTTCTTGATTCAGATCATTCAGCCCCGCATGATTTATTCTTTAAAGTTATCTACAGGTCCAAATACAATCACTCCAAAAGCTTACGTTTTCTCCACTTCTCCATAGCCGAAGCTCTAGATATACATGGACAAAAACCTAAATTCAATATTCTAAAACGTTTTTTTCCAACCCCTCTCTTTACCTTGGTCATAGAAATGCTCTTCTATTGAATTTTACCACTTGAATTCACTCCACTTCACTTCACCTTCATCGTCT